GAGAGCACGAGATACCTCTTACTAACCGAGTTCGAGGGCCGCACTGCATGTTACGGACCGAGTTTTTCTCACTCGGATTAATAGCCTAAAGACAAAGCGCACAGGGGCCATAAATCGAGCAGAAAACCAGGTTAGTACTTACAGTTAGTACTTATGTTATAAACCAACAAAATTTTCTGAGGTATCTGCATCCTGCATTGAAAGGAGACGTTAGATGGACGAAATCCGTACAGAGTGGTTAATGACTCTGCCACGTATTCCAGCATTTTTGACGGCCTTGGAAATAAATTTGCTAAATGGTTCTTTCCTAAAGGACTTCTCATGTACCGGCGGTGTTTACTGCAACGAAAAACGGTTTATTTCGAGAACAGTGACAATGCTCTAACTCAGTATGAGCGGTTTATGTTACTGATAAACCACCAAAATTTATTAAAAAACGTGTATTTCACGCCACTTAACCAAACATTATTAAAGGGAGAAATTGATTCATCGAGACGTGCCGTATCTGTATAACATAAATATAAGTACGCAAATTATGTATTGGAGATGATCCAGCATCAGAGCGAAATGACCCACTTTTCGCCATAAAACTTAATCGTGGAGGGTCATGCAGCGGGATGCTGAATTGAATGACCTGATAATTTGTTATTTACTTTATCAATACGGTACTTTATTATGCATTTCCACAACATTCGCAGTCACTCATGATTTCTAGACAATCTATTTCCCTTTGAATAGGCAATTTTACAGTTGTGTACTTAGTTACCAAGCCTTTGATTTGGAGTGAGGTTGAAGGTGACCTTGTTAACGTTGTGATAGAGATCAGTATCTAGTTAGCATGATAACAAAGTAATTTGCATTTGACAAAGCAGCAAGGTTTGTATTATAACAAGGTCAACCTTAACCTTACTCATGTTCAAAATGGACAAATGAACCCGTATCCTTGTTCCAGCAAGCAGATACCCTGCATCAAGAAGGAACTGGGAACTGACAACTCTTAACAAGTTTAATAAGATATCTTAAAAACCCAACCGGTAGAAAAATAACGACGTCTTTTGACATCATTTTCAGCGTGATAGGAAAGTCGGTTTAAGATGGCAAAGTTATTGACCAATGGCACAAGGTAAAATAAAAAGTGTAAAGTCAACTTTGTTTTTTTTTCTATGTTGGCGAATTAACCATGAAACTACTGAAGGCAGTAAAGCCCTTATTTAAAGGTGGAAATTTCATTAAAAAAAACGTAACACACTTAACCTTCTGAATATCGGAGTTTTTACATTACAATGCAGCGGAAATACTAAAGGAATGGTTCATTACACAAACAAATGCAAACTATATTGACGAGGTCAGGTCTCTTTAAACGAACTTTTTCCTCGCACAGTTCACAGCTGCCTCTGGCTATTTTAAAACCCTATCACTTATGACAGCAGTCAATTTACTGCCGACTTTTTCGGGCTCCTCCTCATAAATCACGCCTGTGCGTGAAATTTAGAGTACTCTGCCACTTCGTTAGTGAACAAAAATCGATTTCCAGGAGTTAGGGGTATGTAGGGAACAAATTAAACCTGTATCATGTGGTCGCCCTGTTTTTAGCGGTCGGTTTTCAAAATACCGAAATTTCTAGACGGCCTATATTTAGAGTTTATCTCTATTACGGCCTGCTTGCATTATCCTCCACTTGTACCGAATGATCAATCAGGGCAGAACCACTGAAATAGTTCTAAGAATAATCTTTGATGCAAAATTAATCCATGTTTATCTCCCGAAATCGAAGTTACTAGAATTTTTCAGCTAGTTTTGGGACATTGGTGGTAAATTACGGCATACAATTGTGTTTTTTTTTTTAAATCGTTGTTTATAATACCCCTATTTTTCCTGTTTTAAGTGGTCAACCTGTAGTGGGCCATTCCCCGTAAAAATGAAAGTACTCTTTGGGGTTCACCCCTTTGTTCTATCTTGACACTGCTGATATTACTCACAGAAGTAAGATGTCAAGTTACTTACATTCGTCAGTAACATATTTTGAGACGTAGACATGGATATCCAGAAGTTTTTGCTGTTCATCCTTTTGTTTGTCGCTTATCTAGAAGAAACTTACGGCTCTGAAGGTAAGTAAGGCAAATTGCTTTAAGTTACACCTTTGTAGTCTTTTAAATAATTCATAAGTGTGCGGTTGTAAAAAAATATATCTCAAGTGTGTATTTTCAAGTCAAACAAACCTTGCGATCAAACAATCATGTCGTGCCGGAAGTTTACTAAATAAACAACGAGATTTGCATTCCTCGAAATTGTTTCAGAAGAACCGATACATTTCAGAGAGCTTAAGTTCTACATGGACTCAAGGGAACCAATTTCTGAATAACTACGTTCATCAACATACTTGGGAAATCACTGAAATGGCCCTCAGTAATACTAAGATCTCCATTTTGTATCCGTCGTATTTACGCCAACCAGCTATTTCCATCTCCCATTATTTTGGCATTTCACTATAGAAATGCTTTAAAGCCTTTTATTTCGAAATCAGCAAATTTCATCTGGCACAAAGGGTATTAAAAGATTCTTTATTTATTCGAGTGTATGGCATTGTTCAAATACAAGATAATTTGTACTCTCTTGTGGAATATAATTGCACCTTGTCAACTTGGCTGAGCTTTTTGCAGAAGATAAATACGATTGTGATTAACTGATTTCGTGACAGGGGTTTTCCCTCATTTGTTCCGTACATGATAACAAAGCAAATTGCATTTGAAAAGTAGCAAGGTTGGTATCATAACAAGCTCAAACTTAGCTTCACTCCTGTTCAAAATGGACAATTCAACCCATATTTTGTTCCAGCAAGCAGATACCCTGCATCAAGAAAAAAACTGGGAACTGACAACTCAACAGGTTTGATACGATATTTTCCAAACCTTAACCAATAGAAAAATAAAGACGTCTTTTGACATAATTTTCAGCGTGATAGGAAAATCGGTTTGCGATGGCAAAGTTACTGACCTATGGTAGAATAAAAAGCGTAAAGTCAACTTTTTTCGACAACGTGATAGTTTTGTCGGCGAGGTAACTATAAACCTACTGGAGGAAGTTAAGCCCGAATTTGAAGGTGGGCATTTTATTAAAAAATCTAACACACTTAATCTTCTGAATATCGCAGTTTTTACATTACAATGAAGCGGAAATACTAGAGAAATGGTTCGTTACGCAAACAAAGGCAAACTATATTGACGAGGTCAAGTCTTTTTAAACGAACATTCTCCTCGCACAGTTCACAGCTGCCTCTGGCTATTTTAAAACCCTATCACGTATGATAGCAATCAATTTACTGCGGACTTTTTCGCCCTCCTCCTCCTAAATCACGCCTGAGCGTGAAATTTAGAGTACTCTGCCACTTCGTTATTGAACAAAAATCGATTTCCAGGACCCAGGGGGTATGTAGGGAACAAATTAAGCCTGTATTAAGCGGCACTGCATTATGTGGTCGCTCTGCTTTTAGCGAGCGGTTTTCAAAATACCGAAATTCCCACATGACCTATATTCAGCGTTCCTCTCTATTAAGCAAACGTGATCGATCATCCTCTACTGAGTCACAACGGCCTGCTTGTATTATCCTCCACTTATATATATTGAACGATCATTTCTAGCAGAACCACTGAAATAGTTCTAAGAATAATCTTTGATGCAAAATTTAATCCTTGTTTATCTCCCGAACTCAAAGTTAGTAGAAATTTTCAGCTAGTTTTGGGACATTAAGTGGTAAATTATGGCATATAATTTAGTTTTTTCTCGTCGTTGTTTATGATTCCCCCATTTTTTCTCTATTACGCGATCAACCTGTAGTGGGCCATTCCACGTGGAAATAAAAGTACTCTTGGGTTCAACCCTTTGTTTTATCTTGACCTTGCTTATATTGCTAGCAGTCACGTCTTTAATGTAGAGGTGAAAGTGAAAGTTAAAGTGGAAGCGGGTTTTTTTTTCCTTCCGTCATAATAAAGGACATGATATAGAAATCTCGTGATAACAACAAACCATAATCTTCATTCGATTGTAGCTTATTTTGAGACATAGACATGGATATCCTGAAGTTTTCGCTGTGTATCTTTTTGTTTGTCACTCATCTAGGAGAAACTTACGGTTCTGAAGGTCAGTAAGGCAAATTACTATTAGTTACACCTTTGTAATACAATGGGCATTTTCAAGTCAAACAAATAGTAACTGATCTTGCGGAAGTAAATTGCATAAACAACGGGATTTACATTCCTCGAAATTGTTTCAGAAGAACCGATACATTTCAGCGAGCTAAAGTTCTGCATAGACTCAAGAGAACCAATTTCTGAATAACTACGTTCATTAATATACTTGGGAAATCACTAAAATGGTCCTCAGTAATACTAAGATCTGCATTTTGTATCCTTCGTGTTTCTTCACGCCAACCAGCTATTTCCGTCTCCCATTATTTTGGCATTTCACTATAGAAATGCTTTGAAGCCTCTTATTTCGAAATCAACAAATTTAATCCGGCACAAAGGGTATTAAAAGATTCTTTCTTTATTCGAGTGGATGGCATTGTTCAAATACAAGATAATTTGTACTGTCTTGTGGAATATAATTGCACCTTGTCAACTTGGTTACGCTGTCTGATTTTGGCGTTAATGAAATGCTAACGCAAATATATCTATTTCCAATCCACATAGCTGGGCTTTGTTTCTGATAAATTGGGTTCCGAAGGCTAAGAGTCAAAAAAAATAATAGACTTATGGCACTCTCAAATTATACTCGAACAAAGGCAAAGAGTGACGAACTGATCCCGTGAAAGGGGTTACCCCTCATTACTATATATTAAAAGCAAATATAGCATTCACTTGCTAATATGGTGCCGATTAATACAGGTTCATAGACAGGCTTAATTTGTTCCCTAAATACCCCGCGTGCTCTCTCACTTTGTAAGCATCCTGTTCTTGATTTTCTTGATCATCTGTGAAATACAAATTCTGGTAATTCACATTGATTTCTGATGATCTGATTACGTGAAAGGGGTTTCCCCTCATTGCCATTAAAAGTAAATATAACAATCGCTTGCTAATCAAATAACACAAATTCTACAGACGATTCCCAGCCAGAGAATTGGCCCTCTATCAGTTTCTAGAAACCTGTCATTGGGGGAAGGGAATGTTTTGAGGAGAATCACATGGTGTTCATGGGGAAGATAGTGGGGGATCAGTCGTCTCTAACAGAGTTTATAGGTTTACTGTAGCAAATTGACCTACGGGGGATCAGGTAAGTTTTATTTTGACACAACAAAAATCCCCTCCCCTCCCCTCCCCCCGAGGAAAAATTATGACCTCTCCCATTGAAATCGCAAGAGTGCTCGGTGAAATTTCAGTTGTTAATTTCCTTTGTTATCTCTACACTCCCTCGACAGGATCTGATATCAATGATGCAGAGAACCAGATCGTTGTTAAAAACGATGCAAGGGACGTACACATACCTTGCTCAATAAACACGGAAGGTCAGCCCCAGTCGGACCTTGGTTTGTATTTGTGCCCGACGATGGCACAATGCAGAAGTGATAGGGACAGATTCATAATCGCTCGGATAGAAAAAAGAACCGTCTTTAATTATTACCCTGAGGAGTACAAACTTACCTTAAATGGGACATTGATTGTACGGAAGATATCATCAAAGTATGACGGAATGGTGGTCTGGTGCATTGGACAAATTCGGTACCAGGGAACGCGAGAAAACACCACTCTTATTCAAATAGCGAGAGGTACGAGTTTGTTTAGGGGATGGGATTTGATCATAAGCATAAAGTTCTTATCATGAAAAATTACTCTTCGACTACTAAATCCCTTTCTTCCTTTTTTCATTCGCAATTGCACGTAGAAGACAAATAAGTAGAACGCAGGTTGATAAAAAAATCTTTTTTTTTTTCATATTGATTAAGGCTTCCAAAACTTTGTTTTATATTTGTCAGAGAGGCCCAAAATTAGGATAACAAGTCCACAACCATTCTTGGTGGTCGAAGGAATGAATCTGCACCTAGACTGCGAAGCAACTGGTTTTCCTTCTCCCCGGGTGATCTGGTTTCGACTTCCTGGCATGCAAATGCTTCAGAATCGAACGAACGATGAAGCTACAAGTTTAGAGCGAAAAAACATCACCAAAGATGACGAAGGAGTCTACATTTGCACAGCTAAAAATCCACTAGGAAATGATAGCTATGAGGTGCAAGTAACTGTCATCGGTGAGTTTTTTAAAATTCTGTAATTCTGAGACGAAGAGTCTTTTAGATAAAAGGTGTATGTCATAATTGAAATGGCATTAGACAACTTTTTAATTCTAGCAAGCGAGTTGATTTTCCAACACTTTTCTTCATTAAATTAATTTGGTTAAATAACTGGTTATCAAAAACCGAAAAGCCACCTCAAGAATTGACAAGACGAAAAAAAAACAGAAGAATAAACAAAAACTCAAAACACTAAAATAAATCTTGCTTTTTTGTTTTACTCGTGATAAAAGTGGTGTTTATCATTTGGATTCATGATATAACATGTACAGCTCATCGCATTTATTCAGCTCTCGTAAGTTTCTTGTTGCAATCCAATCTACAAGATTATTATACACTGACATATGGTTAGCGTGCGGTGTTTTCATGATATATGAGTACTGCAAAATGCAAAGCACAGTCATTGAATGCCGCGTTACAAATCAAGTTAACATCCTTCATTTGATCTCTCTCTTCATGTGCGTGTTCATTTTCTTTATAGATTTCCCAAGTTCAATAGTGTCAACTCCAACAAGTACTACTCGCAGAATTATTGTGGGTGCGTCTGAATTTCAAAGTTTTGTTTATTTTCGTTGTTGTTGTTGTTGTTTTTCAATTTCTTTCGATTTCAGTTCACTTTGTTTTGTTTCTTCTGGTTTCTGCTTTTGAGTTTGTATCTTTTGTTTTCGTTTTCTTGGTCGTAATTCGTTAAGCGCTCTTTAAGTCCTTATTTTGGTTTTAATTTTGGTTTGCTGCTTCCTCCCAAAGAGCTGAAAAAGAAATATGTAAACCAAGTTTATTCCCTCATTCCAGGCTATCGTAAAGACGTTTTGTGCTTAAGAAAACAATAAACTTCTTGAAAATTTGAAACCAAGTCAGTTTCCTGTCCTTTATCGCTCTAAAGATGAATCGATGTGAATTAATTGAATTTTTGTGTCACAGATAAACATGAAAGTCGAGAAGACGATGCTTACAAAGTGATCACTTTTGCGTTGTTACCACTCCTGGTACTTGCGACCGTAGGGAGTGTAGTCTTGTTCTGGCGTAGTGCAACTTGTGGACGCTCAAGCCGAGGAAATAATTCGCACGAAGTAACGATTCCTGTAAATGTTTGACAGTTTTTCAAAAGTAAACGAGAGCGATAACTAGAAAAAAACACACAAAAAGCTGAAGTGTAAAATGTACAGAAAACTGCTCTTACAAGTTTTGCTTGTTGTGATAGCTAAAAATTTGCTTCATTCGTGCCCATAAACTTAAGACAGAGCCAAGAAAATTAATTGTATACCTGTAAATATCCAAAACAAGCTCTAAAGTTTTGTAAAAATTCACCTTGTTGTAAGTAAGGGTTTATATTTATAACATCAGAGACTGGGAGAAGGAAAGGAACTTCCTATTTCTATAATATCTTCCTGAATTAGTCATTGTAACTTTGCCGTGCAGTGTCACGTTGTATTTAATTGAAATTGAAGAGGCTGCCCGTTTTCCTCTTCTCATTTTTCAAGCTCCTAACTTCGCATCAAAATTAGTGATGGACAAATCAATGAACTCGAAATCATACCAAAGTATTAAAAATATTTTCTTGTAAGTTTTAATATATTTTGAACGCATCAGAAGTTTTTTATCCTTATGATTACTACGAAGAAACACGTTATGCGTTGCAGATTTCAGGCATTAGAAAAAAAAAAACTCGACAAACGAGTTACTTGAACAACGTTTTATCACAGTTCTTGCAGGCTTTGTATACTTTAACGTTCTTTGCATGTAAGTTTGCACTATTGAGAACCATGAATATTAAACGAATATTTTGAACTTTTGACGACTCCAAGTTCAGTTTTTAGTGGAAGTCAGTAAAATACTCTCGTACTTAGGATTTGACGCGCGTCAATCATCGATGGCCGCTCAGCTTGAATTGAAGTCTTTCCCCCTTCTATCTGAACCAAGACATACAATAAACATCTTACTAACCTAGTTTTTCTCGGTCCGTACTGTAAGTTACGGAACCTCGTTTCTTCCGCTCGATTTATGGCCCACGCGCTTTGCGCGTTATGTTACAAAAACACTAAGCACATTCATTTGTTGGCAGTCTTAAGCGGAAACTATCAGGACAGCATGTTACATGCGTGTGTTTCGAGTAGAACACATAGGAAGCGTGTGGTATCCGTGGGTTTGTTCACAGAGTTTACCTACACAGGTCTACAGACAGTCATAAAGGACAAAGGAGCCGATGGAAATCAGTAAAAGTGACACCTCATTCAAATATAGAAAGACCACATGAGAGCTGTTTATTAAGCTTCTAATCAAGCTGTACTCTTCCACCGAAGGAAGGAAATTCAGAGATTATCAGAAAGCAATTCATTCAGATCTGTCCTTTGCAACCATGAATTTCAGTCTTTCCCCACACGTATATCGGATCTTTCATTTATACATGCGCCATTCCATTTATAAACAGTTCCTACTCCAGTCCCCAATAAAATAAAAACACCCTGCCCACTGGTCCTCAAGGTGACAGTGCTGTAGGCACTGAAAAAGCCAAATCTGGAGAGAGTTTGCTTCCACAATCTGATTGATCCACACAAAGCCGTTAAAAGTAATAACAAAAAATCTCATTGCTCTTAGCAACAATATTTGTATCAATGTCGATATCCAAGCAACAACTCACCTACCCCTCCCCTTGTCCCACATTAACCCTAACTTGGTATCAGTTGAATGTTGTTGGGCTGAGGGAGGGGTAGGTACAGAGCTACTCAGATACTGACATTGAACCCAACAGTCAACCTATATTTAGACCAAACCCAAACCGCGCTTGATTCTTGGTATGATTTACCATACCACTCAACAAAAACGTGAATGGCAATGGAGGAAGTCTCTTTTCCATAACAGCCGCCACTGTCCAATTTGTATCCAGCATTCCGCGAAATGTAAAATTAGCTTTGGGTACATCAATTAGATACCCTGCGCTAACCGAACTATCGCGGGCCCTTGTGTTATACTCATACTCTACGCCAACCTTTACATTCTCATTGCCCTTGTGCCAGTAACTTAAATGCCATCCTGTTTGACCAACTGTCGCTGAGGCGATCCAATCATCTGCTGTGTATCGACCCGCGCAGGACATCATGGCCACTTCCTGGCCAGAGCCATAGTGGTAGAGAAGTTCTCCTCCTACATCAACACGTGGAGCCATCCGTTGAAGATAATGAGCCACAAGGATGCCAGAACTATTGAGTATATCTACATTACCAGCCGTCAGACTTGCGGTGAAGTCATCTCCACGGTATTCAGCATCACTTTGGACAAGAACCCAAACTGATTTTTGAGTCTGC